GGGATCCAGATCGAGAGTTCTGATCCATTTTGATGTTTATGGTCAAAGTTTCTGTCTGTTGGCTGTCTTGGCAGTCTCTATAATACTATTGGAGAAAATACATTGGCTGCTGAAGGTTGCAGTACAACACAAAAGTCGATAAACTCTTTTCTCTTGAACTTGCTATATGTATCCATGTTGCAGCCAATGTACTGTGGAGGTCTTAAAGATGAGAAGACACCAGCCTTTCTGTAACCAGTCCTTTTCTGCTTGCAAGAAAACTATCGTCTCGAGTGACTCAAAAGAAAAATTCTTCTCCTTCAGTCGTATGTGCTGAAATTGCCTCTCTCCCAGCAAAAATATTGGAGATTCACTCCTTTACCCTTTTCTGATGTTTTTGCTAGAATTTTCGTGTTAGCTTCTTTATTCTATGCTAGGAATCTATTTGTGTCTACCATACCATATAGAACTTTATAGTTCGTCTTTGTGCTATCTGCTAGCTAATTTACTAGAATTTATGCCAGATACATTGATTATCTCTTCTTGGGAGACTATGTTGATCGTGGCCAACACAGTCTGGAGACAATTAGTCTTCTGCTTGCATTGAAGGTACTTTTATCGTATGAATTATTTTAAGAAATCTATGTTTAGACACTCAAGATTATCTGCTGGAGACTGATGTTCAGAATTAGCTAAATTACATCAGTCTTACAGGTTGAATATCCGGACAATATACATCTAATTCGTGGCAACCATGAAGCTGCAGATATCAATGCCCTTTTTGGCTTCAGGATTGAGTGCATTGAGCGCCTGGTAACTAGTTTGAACATATAGAAATTATTTAAACGTCAGTACACTTCTAGTTACATAATGTGTTTGGTCTAATAGGGTGAAAGAGACGGAATCTGGGCTTGGCATCGGATAAATCGCTTATTTAATTGGCTTCCTCTGGCAGCCCTTATTGAAAACAAAATCCTTTGTATGCATGGTGGTATTGGCCGTTCCATAAATTATGTTGAGCAAATTGAGAATATTCCCCGGCCAATAACCATGGAAGCGGGCTCAATCCTTCTCATGGATCTGTTATGGTTAGTGTTGATCCATCTCTTTTAGTGTTGATTAAACAGAGATTTTTGTTGACACTGGGTTAAACATATTTGAATCACACCCTAGGTCTGATCCCACAGAAAATGATGGTGTCGAAGGACTTAGGCCAAATGCCAGAGGTCCAGGGTTGGTCACTTTTGGGGTGAGTCGTTTTTTCTTTTCTGCAATTTTATTATGATCAGTGGGGTTCAATGACTTGAAGAGACTATTTAGAAGAGGACGTTAAAAACACTTCAAAAATCTGGAGTTGTACAAACGAGCTGTTTTGCATCATTCAATGTGCATCTCATATGGTACTTTGAGGACTTGAAAGCGTAAACGAGTCTTGTACAATCACTTTCTTGTAATTTAATAATCAGTAATTATGTGGAAATTTGCGCTTTAGTAGAAATATTTTATTTTGACAATATCCAGTCTTGATAAGCAAGTGCATATTGGTTAACTTTGCTAAATTTCCGTGGCTATTGATTTCTCGAGGAAGGCCTGTCTGCTCTGTGAGTAATATGGCTGTAATCCAGCTATAATTTGGATTTGCTAGTTTATGGGACAAGTCGTGTGCAAGATCTGTTCATATTTACAAATTGCACAAGCATCTATTGGAATCCAATCAACCATCCCTTGGTGAAACCTCCCTCCCAAAAGAAAGTGCATTTTAGTTAAATCTAAAGAAGAGTAACTATTGCTCTGGTGTTCAGCAATTTCCTAAGGAGAGCCGTTCATTCTTTTGTGAACTGTATGGGATGGCTTTACAATTTACATGAAAAATAAATGTTATATGGATTACAAACCTAGCGAAGGAAGATGTCTAAATGAAGTAAGTCGTCATGATATAAATCAAGACATACCAATAAGGGATGGTGGTTTTGGGCACAATTCGACTATGCTGTTGTTATTGCTCCTACTGATGACTATTTGCCAGCATTACCTTTTCTTAGACAATCCTTACGCTCTTGTAACTGGAAAAGTGCTCCAACTATTTAAGTTCTTCCAATCGTTAAAAAATTTATGTCAGACAGTCGGCTTTAGCAAGCTACTTCTTGCAATGAAATCTCTGCTGAAGCGGGGACGGCATGCGGTATTTTCCGCCCAGATCATGATGTTTCTTGATGTTAGAAGTGCAAATATATGCGAAGGTTTGGGAAGAGTGTGGTTCTAGTTTGAACTGCGAAGTGATCTAGGCTATGGAGCCTCTAGGTTGTTTTGTTTAACTAATACTTTGTATTTAAACTTTTAATGAACCTCAGATCTGCTTATGTATCTGCATGTAGCTTTAGAGCTAGATTTCCTAGTTTTGATATTGCAAGTTGCTGCTTGTGGTGTAATGTTTCTATATCTTGATAATGTGCAGCTCAATTTTGAGGTTTTATTTATTCATCTATTTTAAATCTTGGGGCCAAATCTCAATTTTAGGGTTAAAATTACTGCTCTTCTTGCTCTGGGGAGGAACTGGACTTTTTTATTCGAGTTATCATATCATGTATATATTAATTTAGAGTTGGCGTCTCTTTTTAACCCCCCACTCTGAAGATATTTCTAAAAATAAGGTGGTCAGCAATGAGGACCGCTTGGTGGATGATATTCTATTAATTGGATCATATACAGCCAACCGTCTCTTGCCAATTTGGAAGTATTCAATTGTGTCTACCCTTGTTTAGTCTCATGATTGTGTCGTTAGTCCGATTACAAATTGAATAAGATTGGGCACAACTGAAAAATTTTCTCGCAGCCGGATCGCGTGATGGACTTTTGCAACAACAATGATCTTGAGTTGATTGTACGTGCTCACGAATGCGTGATGGATGGCTTTGAGCGTTTCGCCCAAGGTCACCTAATTACATTATTCTCAGCAACAAATTACTGCGGTACATTGTCCTTGCGAGATCTTCATAGTCAAAACTGGTCCTGGGGCTATGCAAATAGTTTAGTGTTTCTGAATTTTCTTGACCTGTCTACAGGTACTGCAAATAACGCTGGGGCCATCCTAGTACTGGGCAGAGATCTAGTTGTGGTCCCTAAGCTTATCCATCCTCTGCCACCAGCGAGCTCATTCCCAGAAGCATCAGCCGAATGCCAGACTGAAGATACGTGGATGCAGGTTCTATTGCTTGTTTTTGTAACTTATATTGAAAAACTCCTCTTTAGCAAATACCGTTTAGTTTTTTACAAGTCTTCTTGTTGTCAAAACAATCAGGAGCTTAATGCTAACAGACCTCCTACACCAACTAGAGGGCGTCCACAACCGCAAGTAACCAAAGATCGGGGTTCTGTTGCTTGGATATGATAGGTATTATTCTCGTACACTTACACCAGGTCTAGGTAGTCGGTTTCCTCCAAATTACCAAGATGCGAGGAGAACCGGGTCCAAGCTCCTGTTCCAGCCATGTGTGCCACTGAGAGTATTTAGGCATGGGGTGCACATACATCATTTGTATATATATGTCTTCGGCCCCTTGAATACAGGGGTGTTTCTGAATAGCACTATTAGGACATGATCGAGCGGCCGTGGGGAGATGACACGCGTAAACTTTCGACTGGGGGAAGATCCAACAAAAATCCGTGACCTCAGCCTGTAGAAGTCGCAATTTTTCCTCTTTCTTTACTACACGAGGTAAAAAGAGAGTTTTACTTTCTCGGATTCATTTATCTTTTTGCTTCCCACTGTTTAACCCTTTGTTCGTCAAGAATGTTGTCGAGAAGTACGGTTATAGTGTCTGTAAGTTGATAGTAGTCGCCTCGATTCTTGTCCCATTCGGACAATGTAAATTTTTTTGTGATGTAGAAGCCTTTTTCTGTATCGGGAGGGGGCGGAATGAAATGTTGTTATTTCTTTTTGCTGCTTACATTGAGAGCTCTTTTTTTTGGCGGTGGACTGTCTATGAGTTCACGAGTGTTTCAGCTCAAACTTCACAAGGACCGAGTGCTCAAGCATGCATGCATATTCAATCTTTTCTGAAATCAGCAAAGTGACCATATTAGGTATGCATTGATCTACTTCATTGGCTTGGGAAGAAAAAGGCATTAAAAATAGGTTATCCGGGAATGATGGTATATGTATCATTGCCTCGTTGAAGAGTAGAGGTTGATTGATCTCGAATTGAATAAAAAAAATTAAAATTTTGCCCAAATCTTTTATCTCTCTTCTTCCTTCTCCATGGCGAGTGAGCTCTTCATTAGCAAACACGATCTCCCTGACCTTCGACCACGCAGAAATCTTCATCAACCATATCCACAACTTTGGGAGCACAGCAATCTCCCCGAGCTCTTCAGGCTTTTTATTGATGTTCGTATGAATTGTGTCAAAGAAGTCAGGAGAATATTCAGGAGAATTGATATAATGTAGAACAGTTAATATATTCTAATTAGTTCATAATTAGTTGGCTTAAGCTTTTGAGTGAAGAGAAATCTAATTAAATATGTTGATAATTTCAAACTTCAGCTTTTTCTTGGTGATATCCCCGGATAAAAGTATCAAGCTTCTACTACATGCTCTCAACACTGTTCTCATAATAAGTTTTTTACGTCAAAATTCTTGAATCATACATGAAAAGTTACTGGTCAGTGAAACTAATAGTAGCTAACATGATCAAACTAACATTTTCCATCTATTCCAGTCAACTTTCGAAATTACTGTAAAGAATCTCCTTTCTTAATGCAAACTTACTAATCAATTATTTATAAGAAATACTTGTTGCAAATAAGAACATATTTACCTTTTAAATATAGTAACTAATCAGTTTAGTATTAGTACTCACCTACTTTTCTGTGACAGAAAAGTTGCTAACCACATTAGAGTCAGAAACCACAAATAGATTTGAGAGTTTGTTTTTTCAGAGAAAAGTTACTAATCTCATGTTAACTTAAGCTAATCGCTAAAATAAAGACCCATTCTCAATATAATCGAAGATGATTATAGCTACTCCTCAAGGACTTCACTTAAATGGTTATAAACATACCAAAAGATTCATTCGTTTTAAGACAAAGCCACAGGGAACCTCTTCAATCAACACCAAGTACATGCACCAACCCCACATACAAGCCCCTCTCCCGAGGGGAGCTAGAGGAAGCCCCATATCTCCTTTAGTACGAACAATCTTCTGGGAAATTCATTTAGGGTTCGAAAGATCCAAGTTACTGAAGTTGATGACGTCGGTCAGCCCCGCTTCACAGGCCTCTGGACATAAGATTTATTAGGGTCCTCCGTCTTGAGCTTCGGAGGTCTAGTTTCTCCTTTCTTAACCTGCATAATACATTCAGAAGGTCTATCAAAAGCCCCTCCCTCACAATGAATATAGGTCCCAGAGAGTGGGAGGATTGAGGCTTGGCCCTGATAGGGTCATGCTTTTCATAGTATTGCATTGGCATGAACCAATAACATTAGCAAGGATCCAACCACAGCAGGAGCTAGAAAATAAATTTTACATTGTGAGCTTACTCTAAGCTACAAGTGAAATCATGGAACACTGAATATAACAAAGTCTTATCATATCTTCTAACCTTCTTTCCAGACTTCATGAAATCCCTCCAGCTTGAAACCTGGAAATAAAATTCAGAAGAACCACAGAGAAAATTATTTTCTTAAGATCGGAAGAAGCTAGTAAACCTTCCAATTTCATTCAAAGTCAACAATGCAAAATTCAGACGGTAGAAATGATGTAAAAGTTGACGCCTTATTTCTTTGTCAAAGCAATTACACCATGCAAAATGTGAAACTGAAACAGAAGATCTTCCAGAGATCGACCACCGAGTCACCAAAAAATACATTCCAGGCTGCACAGAAGCATGCATTGCAAGCATTCATGCACCAGCAATTGCCATATTAGCTCTTAGAAAATCCAGCTTCTTTAGGTTGGTGGAGTAACAAAAGACTAATTCTGGAGATCATACAGAATTGATTTGTCACAGGATATTTCTACACCAATTTAAATTACTCCCATAAATAAAACTGAATACTGAATTACCTACAGATCCAAATAGATCTATTCATGAGGTTCTAAGCCAGAATAAACATTTGGTGCAAGCTCCACGTATTGAAACTACAATAGTAGGTTTAAAAGTAAAGAAAGCGAACCCGTTGTTCTCTTGTTCCTTCCCACTGTTCCTCATGCTCCCGCTTTCTTTTCCACATCTCTTTCTGTTCCTCTTCATCCTTCTTCAATCTACCTTCCTCTTCTGATATCTATAGAAAGCAACCAAAAGTAAGACAAAGGCAGAACGAGAAAGATTCTGGTGCACGAGCACCGAGTGGGGGAAGAGGAGCGCACATACCCTCATCTGCATTTTCCTTCGCCTCCATTCTTGTTCTGTTAGTATCTCTCGAACCTTCAATTTCAGTTCTTGCTGAAACTCCTCTGATTGTTCATGAATCTGCTCATATTTTCCCTGCACCATATGAAACACACACACCACTCTGTAAAATTATCCAACTAGAACAAGAAGCCGTAGATTTGGGGGCAAACGGTGAGTCATCAAAGATTTGGATTTTATAGTTGAACAAGTTATTCTTTTAATAAAATACTTAAAAGGAAAAAGAAACTAAGAGGATTTCATTCCCAAAAAATATGAAAAAAATAGAAGAAACCATATTGTCGAGTTTTAAATCAAGTAGTTTCATACCGAGTGCATCTTTTATCTGAAGTGGTGTACTAATATTTCAAATCATATGCAAATAGGAAATAACATACCTCATCAACCAAAGATTTAATCTTAGAAGCTGTATCTTTCTTCAACTGTTTCTTCCTTTTTGCTCTAAGTTCTTCTGCGGTTACAAATCCAGTATTTTAAAAAACCCAGAATACTGGAAGTAATAAAATCTATAAGGCAACAGTGTAATACCAAAGAAACCTTTCATACATTACACAAGAGAACATACTGTAGCCAGATGTCACTTACCCATAAGTTGTGTTAAATGCATGAAGCATGCAAAAAATGATCCATTTGCTCATATATAAGGAAAGAAGATTCAAAGTGATCACACGATCCAGAACAAATTAATTTCAGTTCATGTAAGCACAGCAAAGTTTACTTTTTTGAAATTGATTCCATGTGGACGAATGTGCATGATTAGATAGAAGGATAAACCAAAATAATTCTTTATACTGACCTTTAGCAGCCGTGACTTGAGAAAGAATATAGTCTCTTTCCTGTTGATCAAGTAATAGTTGCTGGGCTTTGGCTAAAGCTGCTCAGAAAATAACCACCAAAAGGCAATCAGATGATTTGAAGAAAAATAAAATAGAGGTCTCATCCAAGCAACCAGAGAATGAAATAAATATTCAGCATCCCACCAAACCAGCAAACACTGCAATTTAATAAGTAACATGATGGCTGATGTATCTAAAAGTCTCCACAAGATTATCAATACACTCTCAAGTCTTAACTCAAAGAAAACGAAACCAGACAGACAGCAAAATTTATATTTTCTCACTTTTTTGTCGTGTCTTTGAGCAGAATATGGTTAACACCGGACAAAGCACATCAAACACTAAGCCGTTTATTGATGCTTGGATTGGACTTCATCTCATCTCCGCAACTAACTAATTCCTATTCCAAGAAAAAAGGAAAAATAAGGGCTGATAGCTCCAACGCATATCTCATTTTATTTGTATGGTCATGGCCTAGTGACTAAGGCTAGGAGAACAAGTAGGTCATCGATTTGAATTTGAGAATAACACGCAAAATGTACTGTCCATAAAGAGAAAGCCCTACTTTCACTCTAGTTGAACCTTGGCCCCCTAAAGAGAAGTTCTAGTTGAACACTAACAGTCTGCCAGTATGTAGTCTGAACAAGCCAGAGTATGGCTAAACAATCTTCAAGAATCACCTCTGTAAAATGCTAATGCAGACATAGGTGCAGACAGGTGAAATTTAAATCAGCCACCTTTTTTTTTTTGGTCAGATAAGTCGGTCACTTAAAAGTGTGAACTTTCTAACAGCAAAGAGTTCCTCATGCAAAAGATAATCCAGTTCAAAGGAACAACCCATTTGGTAGCACATAATTCTTAAGTGCACTTCTCAATGCAGGCACTCAGATATCTATTGGAATTGGTTAATTAGACAGAAGATAGACATGTAAATCATGAAACCCCGTTCTATCCACCATAGAACTCAGTCGTGCATGCTTCCGATGCTCAATATCACCAATCTTATAGGGTTTGCCACTTTTCAGAAGTCCAATCTCAAAGTGATGATGTGACCCCATGCTTCTACAGCCATTTAAGAGCACTTCCTTCCAAACAAGTCCGAGTAAATTACATCAATCCACCAATGACAATACCTACTCTCCTCTAGACAACAAATCCCCGCATTTACCTTTTCAACCTGAGCAAAAAAGGAATAAATAACAAGCTTTCGTCTGTTGATTGTTTCTGTTTTCTTTGGAGCGACATGAACAACAACATGACTTAAGGTCTCAAGTCTCTAGAAGTATCTAACCCAAGGAACATTACAATATAGGACCACTAAACCTTGATTTCATACTAGGAAAGTTCTAAGCATTTTCTATCATCATCAGATATAATTCTTGATTAATCCAAGTACAGGTCCCAAAAAATGAAGCTATGGAACTATTACCTCCAAATGCCTCCTTCGCTTGTGGATGTTTGCACTTATCAGGGTGAACCAGCAAAGATAACTGAGAATGACAGGTGTCAAATGACAGACTTGTGTTAGAGTTTAGGCAGTCAAAAGTAGACAGATAACCATAGTTAGAACAGTTAAAGTAGATACCTTACGATACTGCTTTTTCACGTCCTCGGGTGATGAGTTAAAGGGTAGATTGAGATACTCAAATGGATTCAACTTGAAGCATGAAAGGATCCTGAATTTCATTTTGCCCGTGAGCATTAAAGAATACGTCAAGAGAATAATGAAGACTCGTCAATACAAGCAGTGATTATTCAATAAACTATACATGTGAAGCCTGAACAAAGAGAAGATTCAACAAAAAAGAAAAAAGGCAAGGATCTTTCATCCAGTAACAAGAAATTGAAAGTAATGACCTTTCTTTTGTTAAGCGATATCCCTTAATGAAATCACCATATTCCAGGGGGTCAAAGGATAAAATAGGTTGTTTTGTCTATGTTCTTGGAGGACATTCCGTAATCTTAAGATGCTGTTATCGTATGACAGCTATCCGAAAGGAGATGTTATTTCCACTTTTTACTTCTTTGGCAGGTGGGGATTTTGAGTTAATTTACTTCTTGAATATGATGTCTCCAGTTGCAGTCGGGGAGGTTGCTAACGGCATTTGACAACAAAACGTTTGAGTTTTCGGCCCAAAGCCCAGAATCCCTCTTGCTAGTTGATTCATAAAGCTCCTTCACCATAAATAGTTTCATAGAAAGCTGCTTCTCCAAAAACTTCATAGCGCTTTTATCAATCAGAGATCCCGGAGCAAAATTCAGGAAGCAAACTTTCTTCAGACACAAAACTAAAACTGAGCTATGTCCATCTCTCCATGCACGAAGCACATAATAAGCCCCGCATTGGAATTCTGCGACAGATTATGCTAGTATCGCACTAGCCAAAACAAGCTCCTCTTTTTCTTATGTTTACAATCGTTTCTATTATTTAGTTTCTAACTCCACAGGGCCATGCCCAGGTGAATTCTTTCCGCGTAAATTCAGTTAGAAACAAATTAATCCGACATGGTTTCCAACAAAGGGGTATCAAACCAAGGTCTTAACTTGCCATTATTGCTCATGTACCGCCCCGCGCAACCCTTATTCGACCGATTAGCCGAAGCAGCAGCAGCAGCAGCAGCAGCTGCTGAGCTCATCTCACGCTTCGACGGGATCGCAAAAATGCCGATTTCCCAGAAAACACAGGCTCGAACAGCCACATACGACATCCTCCTACCCGTCCCTCTCCTCAAATGCATCCTCAGAACTCGCGAATTCAGCGAAGTAAAAAACCACAGCACGAGATTCCCTCGAATCAGACAAAAAGCACTCCCCTTTGGCCCGACAACCGAATACCCAGCTCAATTATCGACCGCGCAACCACTAAAAAGCCAGCAATCAAGGCCAAAAATCGCCGCGGTCAACCGGGCGGGGGGGGGGGTGCAACTCGAGAACAGCAAACGGAGGGAAAGCAAGCGACTTTTGGGCGGAAAGAAAGAGAGAGACCTGGCGACCTCGTTGTCCCTTTCGACTTCGCTGACCTCCGCGAAGAAGGTCTTGAGCAGCAAATCATCGTCCGGCGTCGCCGTTTCCCCCATCGCGCCTCCCCCCCTCAGCGTCGGAGGATGCAATTCGATCGACGTCGCAACGAATCCGGAGAGAGAGAGAGAGAGAGAGAGAGAGAGATTTCGAAGAATAGGAGACGAAGCTGAGTTCGCGGAAGCTGCGCCGTCGTTTCGGTGCTTCAAGGCTTTTGCTTCGAGACGTGGGCTTCCTTGGCCCACGGCTCGATGTGGCTCAATGGGCCTCCTCCACAGAGGCCCGACTTTCGGGGATTGCTGAATTCGGCCCACGCGAGATGAGCGAACTCAGATCCGGTGGGGATCGGTCGAGTCGAAGTGTGTTCGGATACCCCGTGCTTGTAAAAAGAAAAACGAAGCATTTGGTGAATTTTCATATTGAATGCCGCTGCTACTATTCAATCTAGAATTATGAGTGCATTTGTTTCACGGGAAACTCAAAATTTAGAAAATATTTTCCGAAAAATGATTGGTTATATCGCTCAGAAAAATTAATCAGTGGAAAATGTTTTCATTATTGACAACGATATATATCTAACTATTTTCGTGGGTGGTGAAAAATATTTTTCATTCATTTATTTTTGTAATCGATAAAAATGATCATTTTTCGAGTCTTGAGTTATTCGTATAGCAAACATGCATACCCTCCGTCTCGTCGAAAATCATCTATATTTCAATGCTGATATATAGGCCCTAGGGTAGTCCTGTCTGAATACCATTTCCCAATTACTCTATATGAGAGATTTTGAACTCTTTTAACTCCTACTTCTTGTGAAATTAGCAGGGGGTTAAAGTTACTCCATAGGTCTAACAGTCACCTCAGCTCAATGAGCCGAGCGGTGGAAGCGCATGGCTTGAATCGAAAAGAGATGCCACCAAGAAGAAGAAGCAATGGTGGTTCGTTCTTTCAACGTCTCTGCTCTTTTTTCATGTTTATCATTTGGTGGTTACTTTAGGTTCGTCGTTAGTGGAGAACTTATATGTACTCTGGTGTTGATTGATCGCGTGGTTCAAGAGATTCGCACCGTTTCAGAGAAACCATGGGATACACGACGAGTACTTACTACCCAAAAAAAGTGTAGGATAAGTGATTCGGATCTCCAGCTTGCACATGGCATGTTAGAGATATGTTTATGAGATTTTGTATGTTTTTCTTGATTGATCTTGATTGATTGTAATTGATATTATGTTACTTTATATAGTCATTATGTAAAACCTTTAAATAGGCTCATTTACTCTTCATTTAATAATGCACAAAATATTATATTTCTCTCTCTTTCACGTCACAATTCTTAACTTGGTACCAAAGCCTTATTATTATTTGAGAAAGCACCCATCGAGTTTATTTCTTAAGAATGCCACCGGTCCACAACCTCCCGTAACTATCCGGCATTCTTCCACTGCTTGTTCCGGAAAACAAGCACCACCACTAGACTCGCCGCTCTCAGACGAACTAGATCATTAAATTTCGTCGCAAACGGCCACCAAACGCTACCTCACGCATCACCACGTCTCAAATCCACCAAACTTCCATGCAATTAAGTGCTATTCCGTCACCTTCGGATGCTTGTTTTGGAAAATAAACACCACCATAAGCATCTTGGACTCTAGTAACCGCTAGGGGTGAGCGCGGTTCCAGGGTAGAACCGGGAACCGGACCCGGTGGATCTGGTTCGGTTCCAGGTTCCATGGACAGAGGGTCCGGTTCCCGGTTCCTATAGGAACCGGAACTTGGAACCGGAACCGAAACAAAAAACATAAACTTAGTATTTAGAAACCCTAATTCCCAAATGCTCCATTCTCCTCCTGAATCACACCCGATCCTCCATCATTGTCCCTCCAAAGCTCCCTCCCGCTTCCGCTTCTGCCTCGCTCCTTGCTCCCGCTTCCGCTTCCGCCTCGCCCTCGCTCCCGCTTCCGCTTCCACGATTCTCTCCCACTTCCGCCTCGCTCCGCCTTTTTCACTGCAGGTTCTGTGATCTACCCACGCGGATTCGCTCCGATTATTCGGGCTCGCCACCGTCTTCCTCCTCTGAAGCTCCGTCGCTCTGGTACGTAACATCTTCGAACAACCCCTCGCCATTCACGCCATAAGTTATGGCGTGTGTCTGTGTTGTTTGTATGGAATGGAATTGTATGTTTGATTTAGATTTTTCCTTTTCCATTTTGGACCAATTTGGCCGAACCATACTCTCCAGCTTCGACCCCGCTTTCAAGAACCATGCTTTCTCGCCTATAGATTTGAAAGGAAGCCCTTTCGCTCTCAGTGGCCTCTCCGTCTTGGTTTCGAGCCATTGGAACAAGCTTCCGCAAGACCGTAGAAGAAAGATCCGAAGCTCCGGGAGTCGGAGACTTGCCTTTTCTCTTGCTCCAAGGGCTGTTCTGTTTCGGATTTTACCCATCTTCTTGCTAATTCTTGAGGTGACCCAAGTGTTTTTAAGTGTTGGGTGTCACTGATTTAAGTTGAGGACGGAATGTAGATCTTTTCGGTTGCTGAACTACAGATTTTGGTGCTTGTCTATGGTTTTGTGGGTCTGTTTGTTTTGATTTGAGATTTGCTTCTGGGAGTTTTGGGCTTGCTGTTCTTGGTGATTCTAGCTAGTTTAAGAGGTCAGTTAAAGCTCAAAACTTCCTAGTCCTTAATTGAGAGCTGCAACTCCGAAGTGAAGTGGGTTTGCAAGAATTTTTGCTTGAGATGTGAGTGAATGGAAACTCAAGAATGCGGAGGCAATTATATGTTGGTTTCAATTGGCAATTCACGAATTGTATGAGCACAATTGGCTCGGGATGGTGTCCTTTTCGAAACGTGATTTTTCCTTTTCGATGTTGTTCGGTTGTAGTTCGGATTAGGTAAGCAATCAAATCTTGGTGTGGGTACTGGATTGAGCTACTCCTGGTGGTACTGGAGGTGTCAAGACTATTGAAATCAGTGGAAATTAGCCATTGATTTCTTCCAGTGGAACAACTGTATAATTAAGAGCCTATGCGGCATTGGCTTCTTTTGTTTGAGTCTTTAGAACTTTTGCCTTGTCTTGTTCCTTATTTGGCTTTTGTTAATGGATGTTGCAATTTTCTAGAATTCTCTGGTCGCGGTCTTTCATATAAGAACACAGAACTAGGAACAAGAATTTGCCAAGACTTGTATATCGTGCTTGAAGGGGACAGCTTTTGTTATTTGTTTGATAGCCGAAATGCAATATTTCAGTTTCTTTGTGTTTTGATCTTTAGTTTTTTACTAGCTGCTAGTTATAGTTCTTGCCTATCAGATTCTAAGCAGGCTAAGTGGGAAACATAAGACGAAGTTTCATATTATCTTGTGTAGTCAGGCAGATTGTTCCTCTGCTACTTTTACTTTCTTGTAATATTCAAAGAACATGATTACATGAATATAAACATTCACACACCAAGGAAGGAGGATTGGCTAAAGTTTTCTGAAATTTGCTTGGTTTTTGGCAGCTGAGACAATATCTAATATCTCAGAAGATTGCATAAAACAACCCCGCATACATTGAAAGTGCAAATCAGTGTGTGGGTTTTCCCAAGGTTAGCATGTTACTATCAAATTATTTGGTTTCATGGCAAGCATGGGTTAGGTTGAACCTCTGCTATATTCCTGGAGAAAATAATTTGAACGGAAAATTGTCAGAGTTCCTTTGGGCTTTTAGTGTTTAGTGTACAGAAAGCCGCTTGAGTAATATGATCCTTACTAACTTTACAAAGAGGATTGAAATTTTGGTGCCCAAAATTTGAGTGCTAGTAGTAGTGGTTCCAATGCCGATGCCGGTGGTAGTGAAGGTATTCAAGGTAACAAGATCAAGAAGTATGACGCCCAAGCTTGGTGAAGAATCTTTATGCACTCGAACCAACAAGTGTGCAATGACAACAAATCTGAGCTTGATCAATATCTTGAAGAAAAAAATGAAAATATTCTTGATCTTGACCTTTTGATGTGGTGGAAGACTAGTGGCTCAAAATATAAAATCCTATCTTTAATGGCTCGGGATGTTTTGTCTATTCCCGTAACTACTGTTGCTTCGGAGTTGACTTTTAGTACATCGGGTCGTGTGCTTGATGGCTTTCGAAGTTCTTTGACTCCCAAAGTAGTGGAAGCTTTGATTTGCACTCAAGATTGGTTGAGAGCCGTTCGTGTGCCGATTGATGTTGAAGAGTGCATCGAAAATGCAGAAAAATTTGAGATGGGTAAGTGATGTTTATATCTTTATATATTGTAATTCCTTTTATATATCTAATAAGTGAATATTTTATTTAATCTTTCTTTTTTTTAGATATGGATTGTCTGAATGAGGAGATTATCGTCGGTAAATAGAGTTTACCAGTTGAAGCAGAATGAATATATGTGGTAGGCTTTCTAATACTTTTTTTTTACCAATAAATTGATATGGATTGTCTTAATACTTTGGTTGTCTTTGAAGGAGCAGCTAAAGTCGTGTTATTTGTGATTCTGCCAATTATTTGTGCGTGCCTTTGACCTCGTGGTTGTTTAAAGGAGGAACAAATTATGCCAATTATTTGTTCAAGTAATTTACGTTGTAGCATTCTTTGCATAGGCTTGATAACAATGGTTCTTCCTTGTTTTCTGAATGATTTGAATTGATTGGGCGTTATGCATCCTGCTATCGGATTTGTCAACCTATAGGGCATAATGTATGTTTTCCCCTCATGAAGGGTGTCACGAGATGTTAAAAATGTCTGGCAGCTGGATTTATTGTAACTCCTTTCTTGAAGTATATTTTTCTTTGGTCCCTAGTGCAACAATGACTTTTAGTGGCGTTTACTATTCATCCGATGTACTCACCTGCTGAACATGTGAATCTTCTGCATATAGAACTCCGCATTTCTTTACACTAGTCCCCCTTATGAAAAGGAAGGGGAAAAGAGAAGAAAATAAATAGTTGTGGTGAATTTCTTCCATTTTGCATGTCGTTTGCTCCATAAACGTTGTGCTCTTCATTCTAACCATAATGATTGCAATATTTTGTTTAAGTAGTTACTACTGTAATTTTGTCGTACTTTCTCTAGATGATTACGTGTTTGATCTGCAGACTGTGCGAGTGTGGCAAGGTTCTGAAGATCGGAGCTATAACTGTCGGCATGTATTGAAAGATCATACTGCTGAGGTACTCTTGGTGGCTTGTTTTTCTTAATCAAATACGTTGCTTTCAACTATGAAAAGGAAAAGCACATTCCATGTCACATGCCTATTTGTAGATGAAAAATGCTTCCTTGGTGTAAACTTTATGTCTCTTGCTTGTATGAAATCCTTTTGCCTGTTTTCTTACTTCAATTGGTTTAGTCAACTATCTCGATGATTTTTCCTGTTCTCTGAAGCATGGATGTCGTTCTCCTATAAGTATTGTTTAGTCATGTACTGAGTCAAAATAGCTATAGATACAGTGATGAGGCTTAAAAACACAAGGATTCTAGAGAAGTACTCGAATCTAGTCTTTCATTGGGAACCAAAGACATTCATTAATCTAGCTTTCTTTAATTCTCCTTTATATGACCTGGTATTCTTGTCTTTAGGTGTTGGAGGCAGCAAAACGTCTTCATTTGAAGGAACATGCTATATGTGATGGTTCTAGAAACATTTTCAAATTAGCTGCACCAGTGGAATGCAAGGGTATTGTGGGTAGTGATGACAGGTTATCCTCTTGGGACAGCTTATCTTACCTCTTTTTTGTTTGCTGGTTGATATGTGATCATTTTAAGTCTAACATCACCTTCTACTCACAATTTGTTCGAACAATGTGCTTTCATTGTTCATGCCATTTTGGATATTTTCATTATCTTGCTGCTTTCCTCCTCAATAATTGTTGCAATTATAGTTTAGTTCTATCCACGCATTTGTAAACTTGACATTATATCCCTTAAATATCACATTAGGGCATTGTGTATGTATCATTCAGATGATCTAATATTGTGTTTATTTTCGTTTTGTTTAATTCAAAACGAAATTAAAAAAAAAAACCTGTTGGAACCTGGAATCGACCCTGGAACCTGTGACAGGGTAGGTTCCAAGTTCCACGTTCCGACGGGTAGGTTCCAAGTTCCTCATTTTGAGGAACCTGTACCCGAGGGTAGGTTCCAGGTTCCAGGCGGAACCTACCCGGAACCTGGAACCGCTCACCCCTAGTAACCGCATCGCCGTCCACTGTCTCACGCGCCAACACAAACCCTTGCATGTAAGATCCACGTACCCTCACGCGCGCCCTATGTCTACATGCACCAGCTATCCCTCTGTCGCTAACGTCATTGCAGACGTCATCTACAAGTGCTTGTCGTGTGCCAAGCGGCCACGATTAAGCTGACGTTAGCCCGCCATGTTAGCTTGTGAGATTTTGTGAAATCATTGCCAACTGTTCTAAAAACTTAAGCTGTTAGATGAAGACGTGGTTTAATATTTAATTATTCTAACACTCCCCTTCTCGCTTAATCTGGTTCTTTTATCTAGTACTAAGCGTGGACATATTTAATTGGAGAGGCAAATGGGGTTTGGAAAGATTTGAACTCAGAACCTCCAGTTCTGATACCATGTGATATTTGGTGGGATCACTACCATGTGAGATTTCGTGAAATCACTGCTAACTGTTCTAAAAGCTTAAGCTATTAGATGAATATATGGTTTAATATTTAATTATTCTAACATAGCTCGCTATGTTAGCCCTTGCCACAACAACATATTGTCATTAGTCTTAAGTGTGACATCCGATTTTTTATCGTAGTTTATGATATTTAAGATATTAAGTAGTGAGAGTCATTAAGGTAATAAAATTAGTTTAGTAATTGTCAACGGGGACAGATACGCTCCAAAATACGTATCGAATGATTTTCAAACATTAAAAATTTTATTGAGTTAATGTGTCACTTTTGTTTTATACTTTTATTAATAATTTTAGTGATTTCAAATAATTTTATGATGTATCGGCATTCCAAATGAATACCGATTTCTTTGTTTATTTACCGCAATGTTTAGTATATACCCAAAATAACCTAATATCTCTCTCTTTTCAATTAAACTATGCCATTTGTCACTATATTATCATGAACAAATGTCTTAATTCTCACCCTATTTTTTTTTTGCCACATGCCTAATTGAAATGCATTGAACCTAAGCTTATGACCTCATGCATGACATATTACATTTTTAACTCTAGTAAGTTATTATCTAATTGTAACTCTAGTTATTGGTTATTATTGTTTTTAACCCAAGCAATTTAATGTGACCCCAAAATACTCTTCATCGTGGCAAAATTTTGGAAGACAAGACGCTAAAAACACCTCTTCTTCTTCTTGGCGTGGACATCACTCCCTTCTTCTTCAAGTTGCAAATCTTTCTCTCTTTTTGTCCACTCTCTTTCAAAAAAAAAAAAATCAAAGTTCAAGCTCACTTTCAATCTAGTTTCTTGACAAGGTATATTGTTAAGCTTCCCTTTCCTTTTTCTTTATCAAATAAGCTTCGTTGTTTTCTAAAGAATAAGGCTTGTTAATTTATTTTAGTATCTATTTTGATTTCAAGGTCGTTAGAGGCTTGCTTTGTTGAAGATTTCACTTTGCGTAAGTGAAAACTCTAAGAACTAAGTTAGAATGATTTATTTAATACTCTTGAGCTTGGTTGATTGATTGTTTTTTTATTTAGTTTGGATCTTTTTCTATGCATGAGCCAGTTTCAATAGTTGTATGTTAAGCTATGGTGATTGTTGAGCTTAAAGTAAAAGTTTTTCACATGTTTATGTGGTTCTTGAGAGATTACTAAAAAGTTTTGTTGCATTTTGAGTAGGAAAAATGTGAAAATGGTAAAACTAGGCATAAAAGGGTATTTTGGTAATTCAGCAAATCATGGCTCGCACAAGGTTGCATGGCAAGTAGTTTGCTCACCTAAAAGGGAAGGAGGATTAGGATTGCCTAATTTGAACTTATGGAACAAAGTATTGCTAGGTCGCATGCTGTGGAATCTTATCAATCTTCCATCCTCTTCCCTTTGGAGTACTTGGGTTCACAACACCAAATGCAAAGGCACCCCAATTATGCAGCTCGACATCAAGGGCAGAGTGGCTTGGAGCTGGAGATGTCTCCTCAAACTGCGACCTGTTCTAACATCGATTATACCAAGCCCAAAATACTGTTGCCAAGATATATATGATGAACTCAGACATGTGACACCAGCTGTGGAGCGGTATAACCTAATTTGGACCGGCGGCATTAGCAAACACAATTTTATCGGTTGGCTAATTTGCAGAGATAGACTACCTACAGCAAGAATCGTCGCACAATGGATACCTTCAGTTGATATTCAGTGTAATTTCTGTAGGGCTGGTATTGAAGACAGAACACATTTATTCTTCAAGTGTGAATGGACAAACAACATATGGCGTTGTATCCTTGCACAACATGGGATCAGGCGCCTTTTAGGAGGATGGAATGAAGAACTTCAATGGATGATTAGGGCAACAAAAGGCAAAGACTTGGCAGCAAGACTCCTCAAGTTGTCCTTTCTAGCAACCATATATTGCATTTGGATGGAGCGCAACAGCATACGGTTTCAAAACAAGTCAACTGACTTTCATATTCTTTTGGCTAAGGTTCGTAAAAATGTCAGAGGTAGAGCGAATTAGACATTCCCAGATAAATGTTGTATTAGCTACTATATGGAGACTTCCTACCTCCATCTTTTTGAATTATTAGCACTTTTTGTATTGCTGGGGGATGCCCCTAAGTTGCTGTACTTCATCTGGTTTATAATACTTACATTCACACAAAAAAAGGGTATTATGGTAATTTTCTTGTCAAGGTAAGGGAGAATTTCGAATTTACAGAAATGAAGAGGGGCTATGAACAATGTTATTTTATGATTTTAGTGTTAATTAGAGGGTTATTAAGTAATATTAATTAAAGGAAATCAAACTGGTTGAAAAAAAATTGAGTTTATAAGCTTTAGAGGGCAAATTGGTAATTTCACCAAGTTGAGGGGCGAATCTGTAAAAACTGGAAGTTCTGGGCACTGTTCACAACATGTGGAACCTCATTTTGATAAGTGGTTAAGTTAGTCTTTAGAGATAATTGTTTAATTAGGACATATGTTTAACTATGCAAATTGGAACAATTTTGTAATAATTAATTAAAAGTGGGCAGTTTTGAAAATTTTGTAAAATATGTGGTGTCTTTAATATAAATAAAATGTTTGTGTGTTTTAAATAGCATATTAATAGCATTTAGTTTTTAACCTAATTATTATGGCTTGGTGGATAAAATCGAAAATTAAAGGTAAAATTATAAAATCAGAAATTTACTAGGATAATATTCTAATTCTAAGAATTAGGAATTATAGAAATAATCTCTATTATATGTGGTAAAAGTGAGCTTAATCAAGGGGGTTTATAATAAATAAATAAATAAATGAAAATTAGATGAGATACTAAATTATGGAGTAGTAGTGTTTAATGTTATAAAACTTGTAAATGTTCTCTTCTAAATAATATTGGCTTGGTGAAAAGAAAAAGAAAGGTTTTATGTTGAAAGGTGCATAATTAATTGATTGTCTTGTACATTATGTGACATGTCAATAGATTGACATGTCGTTATTTGTGATTGTAATTACGAAAATCTGTGACATGTTTTGCATTGTAATTAATTATGTATGTCTTTGATGTTAAGTGATTAAGACCTTTGCCACAGCCTATTCGTCATCAAGCGAATTCCCTTGTATGAACATGTATATGAGACTCTGGAGTTAGCCAGATGTTCTACCGTATGAGACGGTCCTCTGCAAGGTTGAGATGACATGAAATTTTATGATGACATGACTCGTGTAGTCATGGGATGACATGGCTTGTGTAGCCATGGTATGATGCTAAGAAATGGCCAACATCATGTGGATGTACGTTGGTGTATTTATCCTCGCTAATGTAGAGGATACCCGTGATGGATAGGCTAAAAGGCGTGGCAAATGGATATGTATGTTTCCGTTCCCCATGAGTTGGTGGTGATGATGCCTCGTTAGTTGATATGCTTCGTAAATCGATATGGTCCCGGCTAGTGACGAATATGAATTTATATGTGTGAATCGATGAGATGTTATGTGATATTTATGATATATAATATGTCATCCGCTTACACATGAGTGATTGATTTTATGCAATATTATTGTTGTTTCATTAACGTGTCATGATTGGAAGGGTAGTACCATAATTTATGTATTTTTGCACTGCCTTAAACTCACAATTATTGTTGATACCATGTTAAGTGGTGAGTGAATCTTCTACCTTAGACTTAGAGATTTCAATTACTAGGCCTCGGCTCACTCCTTATTTTTAGATATATAGGATGGATCCCTCGCCACCGCCGCGTTTTAGAGCTCCCATGTTCTTTGATTATAGTTATGAAGATATTATTGTACTTGGATCACCAGCAGTTTATACTAGGTGTATTTCCATTATATGGGTCGACGTGGGGTTACCAGAGTCTACACTCCATCGTTACGTCGCTTGGTATGTTAATATCGAGGGCGAGTTAATTGGATCACTTAGAGGCTTTGATGGTCCTCTAGGTTTTGGCGATGATGGCTCGTCGTCGGGTGAAGTTATCGACCCTTAGTTGATGGCCCGATAGTGTACAGGCAGGCTTTTGGGCGTAGAAGTATAATGTTATAGTTATGCGACCCCGATCCTTCCCAAGAATTATGTATTTTGTTTTTTGGGCCGAATGTTGTATTGTACAACTGGTGATAATGTATATAAAAAGATGCATATGTATTTTATTAAACTTGTATGAGAATTTTGTGAATGCTTTAATATGCTTCCGCGTGTTTAATAATTATAAGTAATAATTGGAAAGGAC